TTTTGTTGTCGCAAAGAACAACATACATATTTCGTTGATTGCAATCGGTGTTCTTTTTCTTTGTTAGAATTTCTTCGAAAACAATTGCCCATCAATAGATAGCGAATGACAAAATTGTGATAAGTACAATTTTTTGTCAACGTTTTTAAAACTTTTATTATCATGAGAGTACTCATATATCCTAGTTTATAAATTGATATGACTTTTATCTCCATCCCTATTGTACAAGATATAAATTTCGATTGCTCATTGTTGTATTTGTCAGACATTCACACATTCTTTGTTTTCTGTTTCGATTCATAAACTTCTATTGTGGCAAAAATGGAAAGTCTCGCAATAAAAAGTCAGAAACAACGAAAATTTTGAGATAGGCATAATGATTGATATCAATATACACGTGCGCGAGTTTTGATAAGTGTCATTCAAATGAATGTCGAGAAAAAAGTTCAAGAAACTGATTAAGAGTTTCATTCTAAAATTAATCTAGATCTTAGAAACATATTAAAATAAGAAGTGATTATAGTAATTGATCCGTCGTCTTATCAATAGGCATTGACTGTTTACATATTCTTGTCGAGTATCCTTTCAGATTTATTACCATGTACTCCTGACAGATAGATGGTTAGTAATTTTTTATATTTTTAATCGAATCTTAATTTAGTTATGAGGAATTAAATTCATGAACTTGTTCACGAATTTGTTATTTTAGAGAGACAAGGATATGTAAGTTTTTTCGTCGTTTCTTCTATGTAGCAAGGTTCTTTGTTGAACAGAGACAAAATCCTACTTGGATGTGAATGCAATTGTAGTCTTATTTTCACTTAAATCAGGGTTCAAAGACGAAAGCCATAAAGTTTCGTTTTGAGACATGCATAAGGTTACTTCCATACCGTTTAATTAATTAATTGAACACTGACTCCATTCAAAATGGAAACCAAATCGTTCGGATTCGGTACATTTTTATTAAAAATAAAGTAGACAGCTTCTATTGGTAATTTAGAAACATATGAAATAAAATTATTAAATATTGAGCCCTATTGAAATGAGTTCAAGTTTTGAATTCTCTTTTTCTTTTATCTTGAATCAAAAACTTCTCTTCATTGGTCAATTATTCGCCTGAAAAGCTGTAGCTATGGATATTCACTTCATTCATTCTTACACAGCTAATTGTCGCCCCAAAATAAAAGATTTTACATCCAAAGGACCATCAACTGTTGACTCGTTTCAATGCCTTGTTGAAATATCTTTTTCAAAATTACATCGAATTAATTATAAGTTTGTTCAATTTACACATTTTAACTCTGAATAAATGACTATGGCTTTTAATCTAAACATTCAAAAATGTGGTACGATTCTTAAAGAGTAAATAGTATGACAAAAATCGAACAGAAAAACAGAGTTTATCATGTTTTCAACTTCTTTGTTTTAAAAGCTTTTCTTACGACTATTTACATATCAGAAGTTGCAGAACTTTATGAGCAATACTGTTGCATAGATGGCGTATCAATAGGGTCGCTATTGAAATTTGTCGTTTCTCTTTTCGGTTTTTCATCCTACGTTGTTGGGCAAATGTTCAATGTCCAATCATTTGAGATATGCTGAAATACCTTTTGTAAAAGACAAAGTCGTCAATGTCGTTGAGAAATAAATTCGACACCTAGTCTGGGGTTATTATTTTAGAATATGTTAAAGACAGAAAATAGCAGTGACGTGTTTTTGTTTGGTTCGACAGTTAAATATGAACTCGCATATCACTTCATACAGACCAGAAAACCAGTACACTTAAAGTTTGACAGCAGTAGGATGATGCCAATTGAATCAAATCTGCATGAAAGTACTCTAATGGCATGCAGAAAAAGAATATAACGTTCATTATTCGCGAAGTGGAATTTTTAAAAAACCGTGTGATAATAACAAATCTCTACAAGTCATATGAATCTAGAAAAATAGCTTAGTCTTAACTTTATTGAAATTGAAAGAAGATAAATAGGATAGAATGGGACGAGTAATAGAAATTAGAAAGAAGGGATCCAGCAAGAAAGATAATTTGTTTGAATTGACTTTCAACGACTATGAATATAAATGCGGCTTAATATTGAATCGTTGCACTCGATGATTGGAGTATTCACCAACATAAAGAGTGCCCTTTTGATCAAACAGTATACCTACAGGACCATTGAGCTGATCTGGTTGTGCACCTGGACTCTTTTCACCGATCAGAACAGTGCCTTGCTCAGCTCCTTTGGGCCACCGCATGATTCGATGATTGCCGTAGTCTGCAACATAGACAGTACCCAACTGATCAACGATCACTCCATGAGGACGGAACAATTGCATGGCCTTGCTACCTGAACCTCGACCACCAGCCACAACAATGCCTTGTTTTGCACCTTTCTCCCACTTTATCACACGATTATTTGTATAATCCGCCACGTACAAAGAACGATTTCGAGTAACAAACATGGACGTCGGAGTATTTAGCTGATTAAGTTCATTACCTTGTCCATTTCCACCTGCCACTATTGTCCCTTGTTTGCTTCCCACTTGCCATCGTCGAATCATATGCTCGTCAGAGTTACTGGTGTAGAGAAATCCTTCTTCGTCGATTGCCAAACCGTAGCAGCTGCAATTAGCAATCAGAATTTCTGGAATTTGATTTGCATCACGAGGCCATCGCACCACTCGGCTATTCCCTGCATCACAAATGATGAGACTATCTTGTTTGTTATTTAAAACCACATCCGTCGGCTGACTTAATTGATCATTTCTTTTTCCGGGTCCATTTCCACCTGCAACGATTCGGACATTCGTCGACTCATAGTTCAATTCTATAATACGGTGGTTCAAGTGATCTGTGATATATACTGTTTGATTAATGTCCATACACAAGCCCATAGGTTCATTCAACTGATTAAGCCAATGGCCCTTTTCATTACCACCAGCAACAGTAATACCATGTTGTATCCATTGAGCATTTTCAGGAATAATAACATTTTGTAATGGTACTGAAACGAAACTCATCATATTGATATTTAGTCCAAACGAATATCATATAATAAATAGCCATATAGTTTTCTTCTATGAAGTCAAGAAAGGAGAACAAATTTCAAGAGCAACTTTTCGACTGAGTCAAACAAGTCAATATTGTTGTACTGACTTAATCATCAGTGATCACAATTAGAAGTAAAGCCATGTCCTCACGCATAACACCTTTCTAATGAATGTCTATTCGTTTTAAAGCCAAATGTCTAATGGATTATTTATGAACGCAACCAAAAGAATTACTATCATTGTCTGATGAAATCTATCGAGAGAGGCAGTCAAACACTATAAAGTCGTTTCAATAATTTGATGTGAATCGTGGATATTAATTTAGGTGAATAGCAGATCCATGTGCACTCTTATCCTCAAGATATCGAATAAATTAGTACATTGAACGTTTTTCTTTACTAAGTTGTTTTCATAGTTTTCCACCATCAAGAAGGGAAATGAAAAAACTAAGTTTGGTTTACTGTTCGTTTTCTTTATATTGTCCTCTTTGCTGTTGTCGTACATTGTCACAACGGAATCGAAGAAGACAGTTTATCTTATCCTTGTTTTTATTTGAACTATTCTGATAGTTGCCCTATATCGTATAAGATAAACCGAGTTACTTAATTCAGATATATTTTCTTTTCGTCGTTTATGTACTTCTTCTGATAGTTATTGAGCGTTTTACGAAAGAAATAAACTACGAGAACTTAGTCTAGTTTTGTTTTTCTACGTTAAGTTATCACGCGAGTATAGGTATTCCCTACAAGTAGAGATGTTGATTGCATGTTCGTCTCAGACCCACACATTATACGTAAATATATCATTTAGGAGAAGGCAAAGTTTGTTAGAAGATGCAAAACGATAGAGATGTGTTACCAATATTTTAGAAAAATGTAAGAATTTAGTAAGAGCTTCATCAATCGAAAATAATTGAACATGCGCTGACCCTAGTTCTTCCTATAGTCGTCATTTTTAATGAGATATTCAAGATCAAGAACTTATTTATGTAAAAGATCAATGCAGGTGATTGAATAATAGCTGAAGAGAGAATCTCTCTAGATATCTGTTCACAATTTTCATTATTTTTTTTTATAGATATTCCATAGTGTTCTAATAATAATCCTTGAGAGGGATAGGAGTTCTTATTAGATATTTTGCAAAGCTGTCTAATTTTCAATTTGTGTTTTCAAGAAGCTTTCATGCTACCTAAACTTTTTAGAAAACAAAAAACTTCGAATTTTAGTCCGAAACTTTCAGTATCTAAGGAGCCAATGTTCAATGAGGCACTATCTATGAAAAGAGCTATATGCTCAAAGTTTCAGATCATAGCTCGAATATTTGGATTTTCCGAAAAACTGGATATTTTACAGAAGCTTCTTGGAAACTGATATACTATAAACTCGACAGATGACGTGTATGTTCTGAAGGTTTGTATTAGAATACTACATAGTATTCATTTTCGCAAAAAAAAATCATTGAAATCGAACTTAGGAACCTGAAGAAATTTTCTTCTACGCGACAACTTATGATACAAGTTTTTTTTTCATAGGCTGAGTCTGATTTGTTAGTTTATTACAATCATTGTTTGTATTCATTTTATCGTTTGGGTTGCTTCGATTCTATCAAGTTGTGGGTGTAAATACTTATTTTTTCCTTTTAACTTTTGAATTCCTCGAAATTTCAGCATGCTTGCAATACGAACACCTCTCTCAAATGTACAATACCGCATAAGGAAATGACCTTTTATGATGGTGCATTTTCATCGTAGTAGGTATTCTGTCAATCTATCCTTTTCTATGTTAAGGTATTCGAAATAACCTTGAAAGTAAAAATCGAATCACTAGAGCTCCTGTTCCTTAATTGTCTGTAAACGTCACATGTAATCTACATACCTTCCGTCAAGTTCTTCAAGTGGCACGATTTGCTTTCCAGACACTTGATTCGATTCGAAAGCTGCTCGTATTGTTGACTTATGTTCACTTGAATCGCTTCCAATCGCTGTACTTCTTGACTCACGTTCATTTGAATCGTTTCCAATCCATTGAATACTCGATCATGTTCTTGATTCATATTGCGTTCAATAGCTTCTATTCGACGAATGATTTCACTGTCATTGTTCTTCATTTTTTCTTCTAATTGATTCATACGAATAGAAAAACTCGTTTCCATATTGCTACTGGTATTACCGAGTTGATTCGAAAGCTTCTCGACTATCTTCACTAGTTGATCGACTCTTTCTTCAAGTCTTGAATGATTTATCATTTTGTTTGCATCCTTTTTATGTATTGGACATCGAAGAGGTAAAACATGAACGTCGGATCTCATACGAACCAAAGCTATATGAGACAGGAGTTTTGTTTCCATTCGCAGTGAGCTTTGCTTTATGAGATGAACATCGATCGACTTCGGACGAACGATATCACCTTCTAGATAAACATGATCAAAGTGTTCAGCAAGAGAACTATCAACGACGGAACGTGAAAGAACGTATTTTGTGTCATTTTTTCCTTCGATTCGAGTTATATTTAAGTGATTCTGACCCGTGTTATTCACATTCGTTGTGTCTAAGGTACCTTGGTTACTTTGCGAATTTTGTGAATGTGATTGATGACTTCCACCTCCACCACCACCGAATCTATATGGACCGATACCAAAACTGACACTGCCCTGACCCTGACCATGCTGCGAACCGAGCGTGGAAGAAGTACGTGAGTAGGTAGATAGAAACTTATCGAGTTTCTCGAATTGATCAATATCATGTTGAGTCAAGTGAAGTTTTTGAGAATTCTTAGCTGCATTACTATCATAAACAAAGTGATCACTGTCATTTGATTCTTTGCGAAAAACTATATTGAGTACTTTCGAAAGACGATCAGGTCGCATTTGCTCTTTTGTCCAATAGAGTGAATCCCACAATCGATCATCTGCTTTTTCCAATTGTACCTATGAATTTGATTTATGTTATAAGAAAAATAAATAAGAAGAATCTGCAGCCATTCTTAGTCGTTCGAGTTCAGATTTTACTAAATTAAAATGCAATATTTTCTTGAATGTGAAGATGGAAAACCAATATTATTGAACTAGAGTTCTTCAAGCACTATCAAATTTTAACTGCGATAAACTCTCCTAGCGCTCCACCCTAGAGATATTCATTTTTGTGTTTGTAATCAAGACATTTTTATTTCTAACCTGTTTGAATTGAAGTTGTCGTTCAAGTAGCTTGTCAATAGACACTGGGTCCTGAAAACTATCGAAACCTTCTTGAACTCGTAGCTTCATAGTCACTCTATCAGTGACTTCATTGAGCAACTGTTTGAAATCATTACCGGTTAATGCTACAATATCAGTGGTCGGTAATTGAGAGCGAATATGATTGAACATGGATGAACTCGTAACATGTTCACTGGTGATCTCAATTTGTCGTTCGACGATCTTCTCTGAATAAAGCGAATATTGAATTTCAAAATTCGACATTTGACATCGATCAACGGTTGCCGAGCGTGCTTGATGACAGACGCTTATATTGTGTGTATAAATAATAAACTGAACCGATTGAAGAAGAAGAGTATTTGAATGCCATTGATCATCGACTAGGTACTTGAGACGAGACATATTTGATCGAAGACCCTTTTGAACAAGACGAATAGCATTCATAGGCAAAAGTGATACATCACATTTTGTTGTCATATTCTCTTCAACATCACCATTACAGAGAGTTGGATAGCGTTTGTTAATATAGGCATGAACATCACGAATCAAATGTGAAGTATATAAATCGACCGAAAGAATAAGTTCTGTCTGACCACTGAGTTCATTTTCTTGACATTCTGTACTTGAAGGATCAACACGTGGAAACGGTGTGAAGAAAATATCCGTAGGCTTCTCTAGATTCTGAGCGAGTAAAACTTCACCATCTTCGTATTTTATCCGACCGAAGTTACTCGTGCGCACTTTCACATGAAATATTCCACCATCCGACGCTTTCTCTTCAACTTTTGAAACTGTTGTTGCAAATATTGTCAAAGCGAGTACTAGCAAGACGATAATGTTTTGCATCGTGTATAAAATGTATTTCTTCATCGATTGTGTATGATGAAACTTATTTTTGCTTTCTTATATTGTGATAGACACATCAATTCCGTGAAAAATTGCCCGATGACAGCAAAATGATAAGAACACAAATGAGACAGCTACCAGGAAAGAGACATCGAAATGTTTGTTTTTATAATAGAATATGTTTTACTATGTTTGAGGGTCAGATGATATTAAATGACGTGTCAGCATTATGAAGCAGAGCTTGAATGTCATTGCGGTCCTTCTATTTCAGAACAGATAAGAAAGTCGCTAATGTTGTCAATGAAACCGTCAAAGATTCCTTCGATATAAATGAGACGCGAACAGTTACTTTGACGATCAGTATTATTCGGTAGTTTGACTGT